TTTTCACCATAAACCGAACTCGACCCGACCCGGACCCGAAATTTTTATAAAAAACCTAACCCGGTCGGAGCCCATCGGGTCTCGTGCCCAACCCTATCCTCATTTGAGGACTTTATATTATTCATAAATTAAACTTTGAGGGGGGGGAAATCTCATCCTTCATCTTTTGATTGTTCAAAACATCGGATCTCTACTTTAATCCTTCATTGTTTATCTTCAAATTTCATCCAAGATAAAGATAAGATAGTACAGTACTCTCCTTCAAATTATAACTATAAAACCCGTCCTAGTTCTTTACTTTAGAGGTTGTAAATACAAACAACAAACGCACTATCAACGAAGTCGTTGTAGTATAGTGGTAAGTATTCCCGCCTGTCACGCGGGTGACCCGGGTTCGATCCCCGGCAACGGCGAGAGAATGGAGTTCTTCTTTTCTTTTCTTTTCTTTACCTATCACTTGTTTGCAAACACTTTATCTAAACTATCATTCTTATTCACTTAATTGAATAATGTAGTGAGCTGGTACACACATTTTTTTCTTCTTCAACACAACATGGTGTTCATCCAGTTTTCCTTCAGGAACATGTTTCCTTTATCAGACATGTTCTTCTGATTTATTGAGATTTTTTTTTTTTGGAAATAAGATGGTTAAACTTTGAGCTCTTGGATACAATCTAAAGTCTCTATTAGATAAGAAGACACTCATCTGACAAAGGAAAAAACTTGTTGAACTTCACAGTCTTTTCAGATAATTTACCTGCTTCCGACAGTAACCCAACTTAGATGTGCAAAAACATATTCATAACAAAGAATCAACGCCAACATCTATTAATCATAGCATGATTAACAGGTGATGTCAATGTGAGCTGAAACCAAACTGTCGAGCATACGATGAATACCGGAAACCAAATCGACACTTGTCACTAGCTTCTGGTAACAAGCACAATAAAAACATATCACCAATGCAAGTGAAGAATAACCAATTATCAAAGGGAAACAAAGTGGCAACTGACAACCAACTTATTTCTAATATTTTCAAAGAGAAACAACCATCTCTTCATCAAGCTCTGCCTCTGCATTATCATAGCTCTATGCTGATGTTAATCCACAGGTAAGGCCAAGGATCATCCCTAGAGGAACTGCACAACCTCTTTGTGTTCTGCCAGCCCAGTTGTAAGCCTATTTCTTTTCATTCCACTCAACATCTCGGAGGCATATATATCACTGCTTTCATCACTCGACTTGCTCGCTTCAAGATCTTGCCTTTTCCCTTTGGCAAAGGCCCTTTATCGACAACATCTCTCTCTTTACCTCGTTTTCTTGCTCTTGCTTGTTTTCCCATGAAAATCCAACAAAACCAACCTCTAAAATCACATCTAAATGCACATAATGACCATCAAATACTTGTGAACTATGCAATAAAGATTCTGCATTTTCCCTTATTGCTTCGTATATATGGATATTCGAACAACAACAGTATGATGGGATATTCTATCAACTGATATCGATGCTGTACAAGATTGCAAATCCCTTTGTATTTTTGAATTTTCACTTTCCAATATCTTGTGGGATTCAATTAAGCTTTAACTGTGGTTAAACCCAAATGTGCAAGGATTTCCGTTTTGCCTAATCTGTGCCACTGTCAACTTTAACACTCCAAAAGTTAAATGTTTAAAGGGTAAATATTCAGCAAGATTGTTGTAAATGTTCTCTTAATTCTACTAAATGGGATTATGAACCGTTCTAGTTTGATAATCAAGCATAATATCAGAGAAAGGGATGAACAACTTCATCAACCTCTGGCTCTACACCATCTTTACTATATGCTACTGTTACTCCATAGGTAAAACCAATATCATCCCTAAAGGAACTCCAAGGCTTCTTTGTTTTCTACCAGTTGTTTGCCTATTTCTTTACATTCCACTCGAAATCTCCTCCTTACATCTCAAATTCATCACTGCTTTCTTCATCACTTGGCTTGCTAGCTTCAAGCTCTTGCTTTTCGCCTTCGGCAAAGGCCCTTTGTCGTCCCTGTCTCTCTCTTTACCTATCTTTCTCGCTAGTTCTTGTTTGCCAATAAAAATCCGAGAAAACCCGCCTTCAAATGCACGAAATGGCCATCAAACAATCACAAACTATGCTGTCAAGATTCTGCTTTTTGCCTTGTTGCTTCGTATATTTGCTCTGTATTCTTTTCACATGTATCTTTTTCACCCCAGAATCATATTTGCTCTGTATTCTTTTCACATGTATGTTCTCCTAGAGACAGTCCTGGCACTGGTGGCAACCATGGTTCAAGTCCTGTTGGGTCTCGAGCTAAGAAACAGTTCAACAAACCGTACCTTTCCACCTCAATGCAAGATTTCTGGGGCAGGAGATGGAACATTATGGCAACGAGTATTCAACAAGCAACCGTTTATGAACCTGTCCGTAACATGGCTGCACATTTCATCGATCGTAGATGGGCTCCACTTTCTGCGGTTTTTGGAACATTTTTCGTGTCGGGCATCATGCTTGAGCTGAATTTTTTACTACCTGGTACGTGAACGACCGTCGTGGGAAATCACGTGGTTCTTCTTGTCCATGGAGCATGGTTGGCAGAAGAGGTTGCGCTGAAGAAGGCTTTCGGGAAGTGGTTAGTGCCAAGGGTGGTTTCTACACTGTTGACTATCGAATTCCTCGTGATTACCGCCTCCTGGCTCTTCTTCCCTTCGCTTCTACGATGCAAGATCGATAAGAGGGCGCTCAAAGAGTATGCCGTTCTAGGCACGTTTATTAAGAATGTTACTGCATTAACCTTCAGCACTTTCCAGTTTCAAGGATTGTAGTGCGTTTCCTATGAAGTAGAATAACCAAAGATGTCCCAACAGAGCTTGTAATGGAAACAACAAATAAATCGTTAGATTTTGTTTAAATCTGATTATTTCTGAACTACATAACATTATACAAAGTTTATGAATTGCAGATGGAGTATTGCAGATGCAATATCCACACAATTTACACTAGTATTTTCAAAGCGAAACAACTATTCTGTTTACCTAGCTTTCTTGCTATTGCTTGTTTGCCCATCAAAATCCTACAAACCCCGCCTTCAAATGCACAAAATGGCCAGCAAGCAATCACAAACTATGCAATAAGATTCTACATTTTGCCTTGTTGCATTCTTATGTATGACTGCAACGACCATATCCACCCAACAATCATGTTGGTTATATATTCTTTTCACATGTATGATCTCCTGGAGATGGTCCTGGCATTGGTGGCAACCATGGCTCGAGCCATGTTGGGTCTCAAGCTGGAGAAAGAGTTCAACGAACTGTAACTTTCTTCCTCACTGCAAGATTTCTGGGGCAGGAGATGGAATATTATAGTTACGGGTATTCTATGACGGTGTACGAGCCTGTATGGTACATGGCTGCACATTTCATCTGTTGTAAATGAGCTCCAATTCCCATGGTTTTCGGGACTTTTTTCATGCGGGCATGATGCACAAACTGTTTTTCTATTACTCGGGATGGGTATGGCCAACGCAGGAAATCATGTGGTTCTTTCTTCTCCATGGAGCATGTTTGACAGCAGAGATTGCTGTGAAGAAGTTGGTCGGGGAAGTGGCGGTTTCAATGCCGGTTGGATTTGTTTTGTTTACGGGCTTCTGGCTCTTCTTCCCTCCGCTTCTACGGTGCAGGGCTGATGAGAGGACGCTTGAAGAGTACACGGTTCTAAGCGCGTTTGTTAAGAATGTTACTGTTGTTTCCAGTTTCAAATATTCTAGGGAAAAATTATTGAGTTCTCCGAGAAAATTTACCGTTCATTACAATCAGCATTCGGTAGATGCCATTTGATGATAATATATTATTTCAGAAGTATAAAATATTGTACAAAGACTATGAATGGCAGATGATGTATTGAAGATGCATAATATACACAATTTACACAAGTACTTTCAAAAGGAAACAAGTAGCTGCTCAAAAACACCAGGCAAGCATGGCAACTAACTAGCAAAGAATTGATCTTCTATACAGACATTGCTAGAATGAATGAACCTAAATGTTTCATTTCCTAACCTTCAATCAACTGTTGTCAAGGTTGTTGACCCGAGCATAGATCCTTGTTGAGTCTCCGGCTATCAGTGCTCTTCCCGAAAATGCTTTGAATCCTACATGATTGCTTTAGTATCAGTTTGTAGGTGGATGGATTATCCCATGCTACAAAGGAAAATCTATCACCGTATCCCTCCACTCCTTCGACTAGTAGTTGCCAAATCAAGGCCCCCGCCCCGGCTTGTCTCTTCTTTGCCAAGTCGTAGATTTTATCGTACACGGTCTTTAAAAGAATATCCTTCTCAGCTACTCCTTGGATGTTTGCATGCACCAAAGATCCAACTTCTGTGAAGAGAACCGGTTTTTTAAGAATCTGATCCCCATCACTTATATGAGAATCCACCCATTGGGAAAGGAAACGAGCCTTTGCTTCCATATCATGATGGGGTATCCTACAACAACAAAACAAAAACATCATAAGTCATAAAAAATGTTGACATTCATAAACAGAATAGAAGATAAAAATGACTGATGAAATAAGCACTTAGGTGGTCTATGACACCATTTTCATCCATCACCATTGTCTATGCAGTCAACTATGCATCCGAGATGTGGAACTAGTTCAAATGCAAGAGTCATTATCTGATCAACTTCTACAGACATGATTTTTCTCTCCATAAGGTTGAAATTTGGTTATAAGGCATAATAATGCTTTCCATTGGCCTAAGTAGACCGAATCCGATAACGGATAGCAATCGCGGCTGGTAACTTAGAAGACGACATTTTCAGACAACTGTGACATGATATTCATAAGACATTATCGTTTCGTACGAAAAGTAAAATTTAACAACCAGCTACAGGGTATGCATGAACTGAAGCAAAGTCAATGTTCTTAATTGCCGAGTTCTGTGTGAAGTCCGATCCAAGTGAGGCTGCCCATTCCCCAGGATTTACTTCCAGTCCCTTACAAAAGGCACCTGTAACAACATCCGATCTTGTAGCTAAATTTAAAGCTAGGCTAAAAACTCCAGAGGTATATATCTATTGCGGTGTTTAAGTAAATCTCTTTGGTGCAGGACAAGAAGGCTTTTGCAGACATTCTCCGGCGAATTTCTAAGATACAAAAGACGAACGGACCTAACAACTATGTCGTGTTGAGAGAAAAGTAATCGCTCAATCGCCATGTTTAAACGTTGTGCCGAAATAAAAATTTTCTTATGCTTTGTTCTTCAATTAAGAGGGAAAAACGTATCTACCTCTTTCTGGAAATGGATTTTGCAAGTGGCAAAGATAGCCAGAAACAAGAGGTGATAAAGAAGGGTATCTGGTCTATCATCATTGTAAGCAAAGCTTCTTCCTGTGTGAAATTTAAGACAGGTACCTGGAGACATTGTATACCTACATGGATTTTACTGGAGGTTTCCAGTTTCGAATGGCTAAACAATCTCACACAGCTCTAAGTTTCAGGCTTAGGTGCCCTTACCATTATGTTGGAGACTACGTCCTGTTATTTTAACATTCATAAGAGATTTTTGGGTAAATTACACGTTTAATACCTAAACCATCAGTTTCGATCTGTTTTAGTATCTAAACTTTTATTTTTAAAAATATATACCTAAAGTTTTATTTTTTTTCATTTTAGTATTTTCCGTTAAAAACTTTAATTTTTGTTTTATTTTTAATAGTTTTAGTCTTTTCGTTTATTTTGATATTTAAACTAGTACTCGAATATTTTTGTTTAATTTGGACTACATTTTATTTTAAATTAATACTATTAAATCTAAAGCTGGTTCTAAATAACTAATTAAAAAAAGGATGAAAACTGCCAAAAATCATAACTAAATAGCTATACAAATGCAAAGCCATAGCCCAATGAATAACCACATGGAGTTCCCAGAAAGCGGGTTCGATCCAGAAGGGGTTGTCGGCGCGACGGCGTCGGCCAAAACGGAGTTCTCCGACGCCGCCACTTTGGGCATTTCGGTGTCGGGGTTCCCTGAAGGCATCACCTCCACGTGTAGCTTTAGACCCTTTTGGCAGCTCTCAGACTTGCTGCTCACGAAGTAGCGAATCCCTTCCTCGACCAATTCGATGCTATCTAAGCCGTCCGTATACATCCTTATGGGGTTCCGCAAATCGCACGACTCGTATTCATCCTTGCTCTTCAGTTCCACGATGCTCTCCTGTGCTGCAGCGTATGCGAACCCTGTTCAACATTTGTAGATTAGATGTCACACACAACGTTTTAATCCTTATTCAATGGTCTAATGGTATTTTTGCCCTCAAAGTTTTCGAAAAAGTTATTTTAATCCTTAAATCTTTTTTATTTCTTCTGATCTTTGAATTTTTATTTTTATTTATCAAATTAACCAATCAACCAAATAAAAAGTAATGGGGTTTCAATGTTTTTTTCTCATTATTTTATAAATCTTAATATTTTTTTAAATATTTTTAAACTTTTTTAATTTTTTAAGAAAGAATAAAACAACAGACGTCACCATGAAGACTAAAATTTTAACACATCCATACGTATCACATAAATAACATGGGTCGAGCATCAACTTACAGATTTTGTCTCCGACCCTGAAGTTCTGACCGGAGGACCAAGTAGCGATGTCGGAGGAAGTGTCCCATCCACGGTCGTCTCCGACCACGTGCTGATGCGGTTGTGCTCCGACCCGTTTCGGTCCAAGGCTGGGTGCCATTATAATCATCACCATCACCGTTATCATATTAGCCATCGTCACTCAACAGGGAAAAGCAAAAAGGGTCCTCTTGTTCCCTTAAAAAAGAAAGATGGTTTCTTTAATGGAGAAAAAGGAGATGGTGAAGTGTTGGTTTAAGCAACAAAAGGAAGGTTCATACACGAGACAGAGGAATGGTAGATATGGACCGACAAATATGAATTTCTCCGGGGACCAAATTAGAAATTTTTGGGATCAAAATTGTAGTTCTATCACTATCTTAACTAACTACCTTTCTTCCCCGATGAATTTGCCTTTTTGACTAAGGATAAAGAGATGGAATTAACGAATCATAAGTCATAACCGAACTCAAGAATTAAGGGTTTATATTTTCTTATAACAATATCAACTTTCACTTTGAAATTTAGGTCTACATACTAGATATGGACAAAATTTTATGTTAGGGGTGAATTGAACTTTTTAAAATTCTATAGGGGTGAACTTGGGGCGAAAACTTGTTTTTAATAGAAAATACATAGAAAAAATCTAAAATATGTAATAATTTTAAATTTTCAGAGGGCGACTGCCTCCACTACGGATGTGTAAAAAAATCCGATCCGACCGACTTGATCCGTTGATCCGATCAAAAAATTCAGATATCCGTTCCTATTTTAATTTTTGGATAATTCGGATCGAATATCCGGAAAAAATTAGATAATTGAATCGGATACAGATTGGTAAAATTTTAGTTTCGGATTATTTAAAAATCCAAAAAATATTGGGCCTTATGATTTTATCCAGCCCAACAGCCTAGTCCCCAATCCCCTTCTTCCCCAGCCCCACCCAGCGCCCCTGCCTCCCACCTCACCTGCCGAATCCTCTAGCACCAACAAGCAGGATTTTTTTTTTCAACTTTTAAATTATTTATTTTTAAGCCTATAAGTGAGATATTAAACATTTATTTTAGAATTATTTAAATATATTTTGATAAATATATAGTGAATGTATAAATTATATTGTATAAAGCTTATAAAATATTAAATTTAAATTTTTGTATCAAATTAAAGTTTATATTCGGATCGGATATTCGGTTATCCAGTCCGAAATCCGGTTATCAGATCCAAAAATTCGGATATTGATCTTTTTCGGATCGGATACGATCATAATTTTAGTGATCCGAAATTTTTGGATATATGAAATTTTGGATCGGATAATATCTGTATTTGAAAATGTAGACCCTAGCCTTCACCTGTCCGGTCCATCCCTATACATCTTTAAAAAAAATCATATTAATCTCATAAAGTAAAGGTTAATTTAACAATTCCATCAACTAGGACAAGTTTAATTTCAAGACAATAATTATTTCATGAGATAGTTAATGTGTGAGCTATTTTTTCATTCAATTTATTTATTAATTCAATACTAATTGCATGTTTTCCAATAATATTTGCATCATCTTATGAATATAATATTTTTTTATAACTAGAGCCCAATATTAGGGATGCTAACCCAGATTACGTATTATTTTGTAACTTTTGAAAATTTAGTGATAGAAAAACTATTTCAACATAATTTAATGACCTTTAATATACTTTACCCTAGTTCTCTAAGGGTCAAATTTTATATAAAGTTTTTTACTGTGCATTTCTTGTGTATTTATTTTATCCTTATATTATAATTTGATATTCTTAATCTCTCTAGTTTTCAAAATCTGTATTTTTCAGTTGCGAAATTAACCCATTTTCCTATTAATTTTGTTAAATAATAGAGGGGACTAAAAATGTCAAATCATAATAGAGAGGACTAAATCAGCAAAAATATATACTACAGAACCTACTGTACAGTTTGAACTTTTTTTGGTTTTCATTTTAGTCCCCTATTATTAGGGATGGGCGTGGATCGAATTGAGTCAGATTTTTTGTCCACCCGAACCGACCCGAGAACAATGACTCTTCCACCCGAAATCTGACCCGCATTGATTATTAGTTTTTAAGGGTGGAAAATTTTCAATAATTAACACATCTATATATATATATATATATAAACTCAGGACATCCAAGTGGCATTGAGGGAAGAAATCAAGAGTGCCTGCGAGTATCGCCCGTTTGATAAGTGTGATTATATCAACGACAGAGGCATCGTTTATCCATCTCCATTGATCACCGCCGGTCAACCATGTTTCCTTCCTGCTACCATCGTAAACCTTGCCGTTCCACTTCCCCCCCGGAGGAAAAACAGGTCTTGGCCTATCTCATGTCTCGCTCCATCAACAATTTTGAAAACTTATCAAGCCTTTGTAAGAACAACACCCCAAAAATACAAGATAAAAGAAGCGGCGGAGGTGGCGGCAGCGACAGCGATCATCCCTCGCTTTTCACCTGCTATTGTTTCAGCTGTTATACGAGTTACTGGGTGTCGCAACCGTCTTTCGGTTTGGGCCCCGGAATTGGGCTTCGACTTGGATTAAACGAATTGGAGTCGCCACCGACCATTTTAAAACGAATTTAGGTAGATCGGACACCATCTTACCTGATCTGCGTTGTACCAGAAACGTGTCGGGTTCGGGAGTCGGTTACGGTCAAGGAAGGATTAGCACCCTTGAACCGCCCTTTCGGTACCAATTAATTTATCGGTTGTCTTTAATGGCAAAAATTAAAAAATTTAAATTGAAATTTTAAAAACTCGATTCAAATTACTTACCTTTGATCAGTTGAAGTTACCACTAAAAATGTCGAAAAATGTTAGATGATAAAATAATAATTAAACATTAAATAAATAAATAACAAAACAATAGAATAATAAAAAAAAAGAAACGAAATTGAATAAATAAAAAAAGGTTAAAAATAATATAAAAAATGATATTAATCAGTGACCAAAATAAAATTTGCATAAAACCTTGGGCCAGATTCGGAAATATATAACTTGGGGACTAAAATATAAGCATAACAAATTAAAATTCCAAATTAAAATACTGAAAAATAAAATTTAGTGACCAAATTACAAGTATGAAAAAAACCTGATGGCCGAGGACCGAGTTTACCCATGAAAAAAAAAATACACAGAAGACCCCTAGGTGAAACGGCGCCGTTTTGGATCCTGCATAAATACATGATACCAAGGCCAAATGGCCTAACTCTCTTCATTCTCAACAATAGCTTTCTCTCTCTAAACAGAGAGAACCTTTGGTTCTCTGAATTCTCTCTACATCCTCATCGGAGAGGATGGCCGGCCCCAGGCCGACCGTCACCGCCGCCATTGCCGGCCACCGCCGGCGGTGGCCGAGAAAACGAAAATACCCCCCAAAGCTTCCTCTCAACCTCTCCAACCCAAAACCGAAGCCCAAACACCTAAATAATGCCCCCACCGGCGTAGATCTAGGGAACAAACTTTGTTTTTTTTTTACCTTTTCCGTCGGTGACGCTTCGGGTTTCGATGGCCCCTTTCTTCTCTTGTGTTGTTCTTGATAAGAAGGGCTTCGGCCTTTTCGTTTCTGTTGATGTATCTGTATTCTGCTTTGTTTTTTTTGTTTTTTTGTTTTGTGGTTGTGTTGGCTTCGATTTGTTGGCTGTATCGTTTTGTGTTTATTGATGGTTTCTGTGTTGGCTTACTGTGGATGTAGTTTTGCAGTTTGATTGTTGGCCGATGATTATCTGCTTGCTGTGGGTTCTGGTTTCGCTCGGTTTTACTGTGGCTATGGCCCCCTGTGTCGGTCACCGTGGTGGGGTATTTATACCCACCCCACCGGTGGTCTACTCCGATGATAACGGGGTCATGAACGTTACTGCTGAAATCCCGGGATGGTTCAGTCCCGGGATCCTCGGCCAACGTCCGGCCGTTTCGCATGGCTCTTGACCTCCTGATTTTGCGGCGCTGTTGAGGGTTAAATGAAACCCTAGACAACTGCAACCTTGACCGTTGATCTCCATCTTGCTGCTGGGCTGGTTCAGGCCCAGTGTTTGGACCAGACTTGGACTGTTATTGGACATGGACCCTGCACAAAAATAAATGAGAAATAAATAAATTAAAAATAAAATAAATAATAATAATATATATATAAACGTTTTCAAAAACATATAATATATAAATTTTAAAATGTTTTTTTTTTAAAAAAAAACTATATATATGTATTTTCAAAATGGTTTTTAAAAATTATATATTATATAAATGTTTTCATAACGTTTTCAAAAGTATATATTATATATATTTTAAAACGTTTTCAAAAACTATATATTATATAATTTTCAAAAATATATTTTCAAAATGGTTTTTAAAAATTATATATTATATAAATGTTTTCATAACGTTTTCAAAAGTATATATTATATATTTTAAAAACGTTTTCAAAAACTATATTATATAATTTTCAAAAATATTTTAAAAACTATATATATACATATTTCAAAAATGTTTTAAACTATATATGTATTTTCAAAAACAATTTGCAAACTGTATAATATATATGTGTATGGACGAAAGTTAGTGTCTACAGCTGCCCCTCTTTGTCCTTTTTCGTGGAACGAAAAATAGGACAAAGATAAAAAGACACAAATTTTCGTTCAGTGGGGTTGAAGAAAAACCCCCTGTCGGATTGAGCTGCGGATGACTCCTCCGTCGTGAAGTCAAGTCAATCTTGAAATGATATGGAATTGAATCGGAATGCGACTTCTTGTTGCCCAATTGTAGTCAACCTCGGTCTTTTCCTCAGTTTAAGGACCTTGGTTAAAAATTCGGCTGGAAAATATTTCTTTGACTTCACCATCTGGTTTGACAAGCCCTCGAGCTGAATAAAATCGAACTCAAAAAGTCTTTGCTGACAAATAGCTTTTCTCGACTTAAGCTATGTTGCTAGAAAACGATTTTTTTTATCACTGAGGCACAGTTAACCCAGGTCTTCTTATGGACTTGAAAATCTCGATTACAGCCGGACAGTAGTGTGATTCTGATTAGAATCGAACTCGACAGTTTTGTTGACAGATAGCCCTTCTTGCATTGAGCTATTCTGTAAGCTTGATTTGCCTCTAAGTTGAATATAATCGAACTCGACAGTTTTGTTGACAGATAGCCCTTCTTGC